CAGCTCCTTTTGGTAAGTCTTCCCTGGCGCCTACTTTATCCAGCAAAGTCTCATTCCTGTAATTGTCTAGTTCTCATTTTATAGGTGCAAAGGAAATGATAAGACATCTCCTCTGAACCTATAAAGACTGAAGCATAAATGGAAAAGGGATGGAAAATACAGAAAAGAGTAGAGGAGACACAGGGGACAGAGGAAAAAGATCTAACACACGTGTAACTGGAATCCCAGAAAGAGAGGCGAGAGAGAATGGGACGGAAGCAATATCTGAAGAAATGATGAGAATTTTACAAAACCAATAAAAAATATCAAGCCACAGATTCAAAAAGCTCTGTAAACCCCAAGCAGAATAAACACAAAGCCAATCACACCCAAGCATGTCATGATCAAACTGTTAGAAATTGAAAACAAAATCTTAAAGGCAGCCAGAGGAAAGAAATATACCATTAGCTTCAAGGGAGCAGCAATAAAACGGACAGTTAAGTTTTCAACAAAAACAATGGAAGTAGGAAAATAATAATATAGTTAAAGTGTTCAAAGGAAACAATTTTCAACATGGAATACTATACCCGCAAAAATACCTTCTAAAACAAAAGTGTAATAAATAACAAAGACATTTTCACACAAATAAAAACTAAAAGAATGATTAGCAGACTGCGTTGTAAGAGAGAAGAGAGTTCTTCAGAGAAAAGGGAAATTATACCAAATATATTAATAATTATGGAAATGCAGGAAGAAACAAACATCAAAAGGACAAATCTAAATTTATATGGGCTTTACAAAGAAATACCATCTTGTGGGGTTTAATATATCTTAATAATTTAATATATAAAACATGCATAAATAAAATGCATAGCCACACTGACACAAAAAACACGAGAGGAATACACAGATTAAAAATGTCTAGGGCACTAGCATTACTGGGGAAGTAGTAAAAATAATCACTTATATTACATTGTTGTAAGTCAAGATGCATGCTGTAATCTCAAGAGTAACCACTAAAAGAACAACAGAGACATGTAAAACACAAGAGCTAAAAAGGAAAAAACATGTATAATCATGTGCCACATAACAACATCTCAGTGATGGACCACATGTATAGTGGTCCTATAAGATTATAATATTGTATTTTTTACTGTACCTTTTCTAAGTTTAGACACATGAATACTTACAATTGTAATTGTAACATGCTGTACAGGTTTGTAGCCCAGCAGCAACCACTATACCACATAACCTAGGTGTGTAGTAGGCTACACCATCTAAGTTTGTGTAAGTAGTACACCGTATGATGTTCACACAACAAAATTACCTAATGACGTTTCTCAGAACTTATCTCTGTCATTAAGTGACACATAATTGTAATTTTAAAAGTCTTTGATTAACTCAAAAGCAGGAAAGAAAAGAAAAAAACAAAACAGATGAATCAAATAATAAGCAAAAACTAAGACAAAACTCCAATACAATCAGCAATTGCATTAAATGTAAATGGACTAAATATTCCCATTGTAAGACTAAAAATCATCAGTCTATATTTAAAACACAGAAAACAACTATATACGCTGCTCACACAAAAAAAATACCTTAAATATAAGGACATAAAAAAGTTGAAAATATAGGGAAGAAAAGGAAATAGCAAACATTAACCAAAACTGCAATGTAGCTATAATAATATCAGACAATGTAGGCTTTCATAAAAAGGGGCATAACACAATAATACAGGGATCAATCCTCAAGAGGATATAAGAATTCTAAATATGTAGGCAGCCAATAACAGCTTCAAAACATATGAAGCACAAATCAGCAGACTCAACGTAGGTAAATCAATAATCACAGCATAAGACTTTTAAGGCCTCTCGATAGCCGATAGAATAAGCAAACCAAAAAAATCATTAAAACATCTGATCAATATAAGCAGCAAACCAGAAGAGATCGATAGATCGCTGCACCCAACAATGTCAGAATTCTTTTCAGGTACACATGGAACATTTACCAAAATATTCCCATTTGGAGTCAATGACAATACTCCAATTTTACAAAAGGGAAAAACCCAAGTAGGGCTCAAGGTCACATAGGAAGCAGGGCTGAAATTTTAACCCAGACGTTATGATGACCTAAAGCTCCATTCTGACCCCAAATCCGATATATGGCCCTATCTTCTACAACATTCTTTAACAAAATCTAATACCCATAGATCACCCTGCCCATAGCATCATAACCGTAAGTTCCTGTAGCCAAATAGGATTTGGGACTCCTGCCTCCATCTTGGCATTAAAATGAGCCACTGAGACTAGAAAGCCTGTGACTTCCCCTCCATGCAGCTGGATACCTACCACTGACCTCCCCAAACACCTATCTGGTTCCCTGCAGATCCTACCTTCCCGGGATCTAGAGCCATCCCTTTCCTTCATAACCCAAGTGTAAAAACTTCCTAAAGTCTGCCAGTCTACAGCGCAAAAACATCTCAGCTCCATGAGGGGAAGAGAGGCTAGAAGTGTCTCCCAGGAGAACAAAGCAGAGCAGTGATACTTCAAACGGAACAGTGGCCCGCCAGTAAGGTACATATTTCACGCTGCAATGAAAAATATACTTAAATATTATGTTTATGTCTCTGAAACTAAAATATTTTTGCAACGTGTGTAGTTTTTTCTAAGGATCCATGATATCCATTCTGATCTTTTATATTGAACTCTATTCTGTTTAACTTGTTTTTTGCTGATAACTTGCTGATACCAACCTACTAACTTGACTTCACACTCACTAAAGGGTCATAACCTACAGCTTGAGAACCTCTGGGGGGGACAGAAGAACCAGAGTTCACCACCGGGGCCGGAACAGCATGTTCTTTCCTGAACTGGCTCCGCCGTGCATCCATCCTGCCACCTCCAACCCCAAAGCATGACCACACGCAGAAGGCAGCTTCAGCCATCAGCAAACACCCAAGCACTTACCAAGACTAGAGTGTCGCCTCCTCCCAACCCAGGTTCCTTCTTGTGCCCACACCCCACACCTCTGAGGACAGCCCTTCCACCCTGGTTTCACTGAAGCTGCCTTTTTTCCTACACATCCTCCTATACAACCCCTCTTCAGTCTCTGTCTGCCTTAAGCCACCACCCGAAAGGGCCCGACTCCACCAGGACTTTATGGTGTTCCATCAAACTCTAATTCACCATCAACATTTTCATTCTGACCACTTTTCCCAAACAGCCCCCATTACCTCCACTGCCTCTCCCCGCAAAGACTCCCAGGAGAAGATGACACCCAGCCTAAAATACACCAGAGCAGCCTGCCAGGGACAGGACTCTTCAGAGTCTGGAGTAAAGGGAAGGAGAGAATTACAGGAAAAAGCTACAGATGTTAAAAAAAAAAAAAAAAAAATAGGGTAGTTCCTGCCCTCAAACTCATGGAGGAGAGAAGGGAACCTCCATTCAATATTTTAATAAGAAATAAATGTTTCCCAACTACTAGGCAGTGTGCAAAGCAGGTAACATGCCAAGCCTTCTGAGGGACGAGGACCATCAGAAGCCAGTGACGGCAGCGATTCTCAAACTTGTCCTGATGGTAGAATCCCAGCAGTTATGACACTCTGTGATGAACTGCTTGAAATGCTAATGCATGAAAGGGAAATAAAGCAATAACCTTGTGCTATAACTCAGAGGACACTTTATACTAAATGGTTGAACAACTCAGTTCTGTTGGCAGCAGATGCCAAATTTTAAGGTAACAATTATGGAAGAAAAATTTGCAGTTGAGAAAATTCTATCCGATTAACCTAGTCTGCTCCGCACCTTGGAAAGACAGCCAGTCTCCATTCAATGTTAGAACCCACACATCGGTCCAGCTCCCAGAGGACCAGGCTTTGGGGAAGCCAGTGTGTGAGCCTCTGCCCAGAGCCAGCCTTGAATGAACAGGATGGGTTTCCAAAGGAGAAGAGGTGGCAGAGGAGAACAGCATGGATGGTGGGTAGTTACGGGACGGGAGACTTACAAACCAGCCCAAGCAAAGCAAAAGGTAGACAAGTGACAGTGGGTGTGCATAACCACTTAGCACCAGTATCACCAGGAACCAATCCGAACTCTGCTACGTACAGCCTTGCAAATAGCCACTCGCCCAAGGCCAGTATGAATCAAGCTACCCAAACTGTTGCTTTCATGAATCATGCTGCTTGGAGAACCTACTAAAGACAGCTGAGCTCTAAAGAAACACACTTCCAGTAATTCCATCTTAGAGTATACCACGGCAAAGGAGATGGCACTTTCAACAGGAACATCTTGGTGCATCAATAAGCAATACACATGGCAATGCGACATCGTAAAAGCAGACACGACTGCTACAAACCTGCACCATAAAATTATCCTTCGACTCATACAAAAAGAGCACGAGTGGATTGGGTACAATGGCTATTCAAACCCACAAAGCACAAATGAAGCTCACAACTCCACAGCGTATTAAATTGGCTTTAAACAGCAGCAGCTCAGGGCCACAGCACCTCGTCCCGTTCCACTGATGAGCTGCAGGAGATCGAGCAAACGGGTTCCCCAAATGGCTGGTCCCAGGGCAAGAAAGGCGCTGTTTAGGGGCTGAACAGCCCCAGTGAGGAACCTGCACTCACTACCTGGCCTCCTTCCTGCAGAGGCCCCCCAAGGCAGCCGGCTGGCAGCGGGGTGGAGACAGGAGGAACAGGTGATGCTGCAGACACTGCCCCCAGGGAGGCGGCAGACCAGGCTACAGCTCACAGCGCAGCACTAGCTGCGCACCAGCTCCCGGACACAGCCGAGGCCCAGCTGGAACCCGGCAACTGGATCACTCGCCCATGGAAACATCCAGTCCAGCAGCTGATGCGAGGGCAGCCGCTACCACCCACTGCACCAATGCCTTCCCTGGGGTGTGGCTGGGCCCCCACCCACGTCCACCTCCACGCAGACCCCGGAGCAGCCCCGGCTCCACCCAGAGTGGGCTGGCCCGGCAGGGCAGGTGGGGCAGCCAGGGGCCCGCAGCCACCTTACCTCCGAAGTTGGCCAGCCGCCCGATCCGCGTCACTGGCACCTTCCGCTCCCGGGCCTGCTCGCTGAGCTGGAGGAAGAAGAGAAAGGGACCTGTGGGATCGGCAAATGGGCACAGACCAACCTGCGGGGGGATCATGCTGTGCCCCCACAGCCCCTCCACCCCCAAAGGCAGCAGCTCCACCTGGCAGCATACCCACCAAGAAGAGGCCTCCGTGTTCCTAAAAGGCCACAGTATCCTGACAAAGTACCCGAAGCGGGGGCCAAGGCCAGCGCCACCGTGGGTGGGAACCAGCCCGCCCGCTCCGGGGCCCGGGACGTACCGCCTGCTTGTGCGGCTTGTTCTCAGGGCGGGCCTTGGCCTGCCGCGCCTTCTCGATGTCCTGGGCCGTGAGGCCCCCCACAGGGGCCTGGTCCTGGTGGAAGAACCTTCGCTGAAAGCCCGGGGCACAGAATGAGTCTGTGGGATTTGCAAAGAGTCTCCCATGGACCCTGCCCAGAGGGGAGGTGGCCTGGCCCGGGAGCCCGGCTTCACTAAAGGGTCCGCTGCCAACGTAGGCAGGAGCCGGACCCTCGCCCTGGGTGTGACCCCACGATGCGGGCGGTGATGGGTCTGCGGAGAAGTCAGCGGAGGCTCCCATTGCCTGCGGGCCTGAGAAGTGCAACTCTGCTTCCACGTCTTCCAAGTTCTCCACAAAAGGCTCTTCGCGTTTGTCCTGACCCTGCAGGGAGCAAGGCCAGTGTGAGGGGTGCAAGAGCGAGCCAGGAGCTCTTCCCGTGTCTGTCCCCGCGGTACGGGACGGCATGCTACCGCCCTCCCACCCTCTTCGACCCTCCAGAGTTAAAACGATACTACGCCCAAGGCCTCGGGCACCCTTCCCAGCCCGGGAGCCAGGACCCGGGCTCCAGCCCTGATTCTGCCAGGACTCTGCTCTGTGGCCGGGGCGGGTCACTGAGCACCTACTGCATGCCCAGCTGGGGCCAGGCCAGGTGCCCACCCCACTCCCCAGCAACAAGTTCCTCATCTGCAAATCAAGGCCGAGGAGGGGGCCTCCAGGGCTTTGGGGAGGGTAAACCTGGCCACAAGACAGGGCAAGCTCTCAGAGGTGAAAACACAGCCAAAGGCCAGTGAGGGGGCACACATGGGGACAGCCCCTCGCTGCAGACGTGGTTTCTGCCAGTCGGCCTGGGGCTTGCGTTTAAGAAGTTCTCACGGGAGAGGTGGTCACAACCAGGACCAGGAATGGCTGTCCCTGGGAGCTTGGGGTACATGGAAAGGGGGTGCAGGGGATATACTGTGTTTTCTTTGTAACAGGCACCAAGGCCTGCCCTTGCGCCCAGGTCCTTTTTACTTTTGAACCAGGAGTAACCTTGAGTGACTTCCTGCCCCTGCTCTGCCACTTCCTCATCTGAAAATAGGGCTCCCCATCGTCACAGAGTTATGTGGGGCCACAGGGCCAGGGACACAGTGCCAGGGAGGCTATAGTTATAACAGCACTGACTTCCGAAGGAAGCCCGGAGGCCTGGATTCCTGGTTCAGCTAAAGTGGCTCACCCAGTCCAGTGGCCCACGTGCTGCCTGCAGCCCACACGGAACATCCAACGGGAGGCAATGGCTCCCCGCTAGAAAAGGCACCACACAAGGCGGCGGAGGCCACAGCGCAGCCTCAGCAGAGGGAGGGCAAGAGCAGGGAGTCTTGGCTAGGAGGGGGACAAGGAATCTGGTCCTGTCATTTAACAGTCAGGGTCTTGCAGCAAACTGCTTATCTCAGATTCCTCTGAGAAACGGGGTGAGCATCAGGCCCGCCCCCGTCCCGGGACAGCGGTGAGGCTCAGAGGAGATCACGGGTATAAAGACTTCAAAAGTCAAAGGCACATATGTACGGTGAGAGAGTCACCATAGCCCCACTGGATCCTTACGGAGCAGGAGGGAAGGGTCTGGGAATCTTACACCTGAGACTGACCAGAGGCCTGGGGGCCGTGATGGCCTCACAGCCTGGAGGAACACTGTGACCTTTGTCCAGCTTAGCCAGCCACAGGGCAAACTTCCAGCACACGTGTACATGCCCACGCACACATGTACACACGCATGTGGGCACATGCACACACGAATGTGCACACAAACACCCTTCCTCATCCCCTCGGACCATCAGGGAAGTTGCTGGCGACACCGTGGTGGGCAGTGCTCTGGAGTAGCCGACCCTGTTTGCAATCACCTCTCCAGCACTCATTTTTGCTTAAAACCATCCCTTGGGTGTAAGACATCGAGGCTTCCTGGACCTCGGCACAAAAGGTGATCTCCCCCAGCAGCATGAGGGATGAGAGACGCTGGAGGTGACGCTGCCCCCGGCAGGGCTGTGCCAGCTGCCACCCTGGAAAGGAGCAGAACCCCTTCTGGGAGAAAAACAAGGCCAGGCCTCAGCGGAGGATCAGCAGACTGGGTGGGAAGAGCCTTCGAAGGCTGAGCCAGGCTGACCACGGCCCTGTTAGGGACTGCATGTGCGTGCGTCCCCCTAAATTCACCTGTGGCAACCCAGCCCCAGCTCCTGGATGATACGGGGGGCATCTGGGGGTACCTAAGTCAGGAGGACAGAGCCCTCCTCAGTGGGATTAATGCCCTTCTAAGAGGGGCCCCAGAGAGCTGCCTTGCCCCTTTCCGCCACGTGGACACAGCGAGAAGACGGCCATCTATGAATCAAAAACGGGCCCTCACCAGACACCAGATCTCCCAGTGCCTTAATCTTGGACTTTCCGGCCTCCAGAATTGTGAGAAAGAAACATTCTGTTTAAGCCGCCAGTCTATGGGTCCCTTACCACAGCCACAGCCTCACACGGGGCAGGGGGACATGCTGGCAGGGCGGGAGGCTCCCTGTCCTGGCCACAAGAAGATCAGCTGCCATGGTCACACCCCCAGGTCCCACCAAGAACCCCAAGTCCAGCTCTCTTCCCGCCAGCACCCCCCACCGCCTGGCCGGGCCTCCTTACCTGTGCCTTCCCCAGGAACGCGCTGACCTGCTCCGCAGCCGTGGACTGCAGGGCCCTGGCCGCCGTGAGGAGCTCCCCACCGATGCCCCAGTGCTGCAGATGGGTTTCCACAGCCGCCCGGGTCAGCTTGGCAAGGCCTTTGGCCACCATGATGGCGTCCCCCAGCATGGCAGCCATCCTTCAGGGCTGGAAGAGAGGAGGCCGGGTAAGGGCAGGGCTCCACACACCAGCCAACCCACACCCTGGGCAGAAGGCCATTTGGTTTTCCCACTGATCTCCCCTTCTGATCCAGGCTGACTAAAAGAAAGAGAGGGCGGGGCTCAAGGGAGACTCCAGGTGACCCCCAGCACTGCAGGGGCGTGAGCAGAACAACAGACTGTGGGGTTGGCTCGCAGCATGCACCACTCCCTACACACCGCCCCGCCCGGGCCTCAGACCACCCTGTGAAAACCCTGGGGCACGGAGAGGTAGGGAGATCTGCAGCAGGACCGGGACGTGAATCGGGCATACTGACTCCTCGTGCAGTGCTCTTCCCTCTGCATCAAGACCATACGCTGGGTGGGCGCATCGCACTCCCAAAGCATCTCACAGCAGTGCTGTTCCGACCCAAACCCACACAGACTGGGGCTGCTAGTCCCTACCCGGCTGCTGCCCAGTGAAGCCTCTGACGGACCCGCAGACCAAGGGACAGCCAGAGCCCCTCCCCGCCACCCCCTACCCCCTTCCCGAGTCAGCCCACCCTCCGCTACAGCCACTCTCCAAGCCAGTGTTTTCAAACTGCAGTCTGCGCCCACAGTGCCGCCAGCTTGGGAAGATCCTAACCAGCTCCCAGAACAAACGAGCAACACCACGCTGTGACTGGCAAAGGAAGCGTCAGGAGCGCTGTGGGTAGGACCGTCACGTGAATTCGTTTCTCCCTTGGTTGTGTGTGTCATTCTCTCTCTGCGGGGTCATGATATAAAAGGTGTTTTTTAACGTAGGCCAGAGTCAGGGAAGCTGAAAACCACTGCGCACAGTGGTACTCAGGACACGGCCCGTGTTCTCGTTAGCTACTGCCAGGGGCTGTGCAGGGGTCGAGAGTGAGTCCTGTCGGCACGCTCCGGCCTGAGAACGGCGGGACCCCCACACGAGGAGCACTCCAGCCAGGGCGGGGAGGAGCTGGGCGGGCCGAGACAGTGGGATCTGCTGAACGTCCCCAAGATGAGGAAGTCAGAAACCAGGGAGGGGTGTGGATGGCAGTTCAGGCAGGGGACCTGCGTGAACAAAGCCATGCAGGCCGAGAGCCCAGACACACGCTGGTCGCAGGCATGGCCCAGCAGGAGGGAGGGGCAGTCACAGAGATGACTCCTGAGATGCGATCTTATCACGTTGATTAATAGCAGCACAGACGGGGAAGGCCATGTACGAGCACGACAGGGGTCCCTCACCAGAACCCTGGGACTCCTGCAGATGTCAGTCCCCCTCCCGCCTGCTCTGCAGGCGGAACAACCCAGCCACTCCAGGGACTCCTGCAGGAATCGGCTCTGCCCCTGGGATGGGATAAAGCTACTCTTATTTAAAAGAAGGAGCCCCGTAATGCACAAGATCCCAGAACTTGAGATGATCGGCCATAAGCTGCCCTCAGAGATCACCTTCACCCTCAAATGACAGCCGCCAGCACACCCTGGCCTAGAAGCTTTCCGTACATCTTCTAATCTTCACAAATGACCTGATGGCATGGCTATTATGGACCCCCATTTACAAATGGGAAAACCAATGCAGAGAGGTTCACTAACTGGCCAAGGGCACGCGGCTCCGGATGGTAGCCGCGGGTGGGACCCCAGCCCTTGCTCTGTGCCCGCATCACGCTGCCTCCCTGAACGCTTGGCCCACCCACTCCAAGGCACTTCTGCAGGGACAGGGCACAGATGCCTGCACTCTAATCCAAGCCAGGGAGGTGTGGGGAAGGTAATTATACCCTTGAAGAAGATGGGAGCCGGGGAGGGGGGCTGGCCCAGCCCTTCCCCTGGTGCCACTGCACACCTGGGCTCCGCTGTGCACTCCTGCACCGCATGGCAAGGAGCAAGGCCAGCCCCACAGAGCGAGCGCCTAGAACTGGGGCAAGAGCACATAAGGCTCAGATGGGACTGGTGCCAGCTCTCAACGCCACAGCCCCCGACCCCCCCCCACACTTCACTCACCACCCAGGGTGGGGTGGGGAAGGAGGAGCACCCACTGCGGCCACAAAGCGGAGGGAGGAAGGCAGCTTCCGAAAGAGACATCAGGGACGTGCAATGGCAGATGCAGGGGGACATCTGTTCAGAAGGACCATCCACGACACCACCTGCCTCAGGGGTCCCCAGAAACAGGCCTTCACCTGGCTCATCTCTAAACCCAACCCAGATAACCAAGACAGGAGTCTTCCATGGCCACAAGCTGGAAAATTCCACACATCTGATGTCCAATCCTCCTCAGAACTTCCTCCTAAGATCTATTAATATTTAATTCAGACTTTGTTTTTTTGGCTTAAAACTATTAATCTTCCAGAATTTTCCATTCAAGTTATCATAACCACATACTAAAGTTTCACTACACACCACACCCAGTGAACTCCCAGTGAACTCCCACTGGTGCCTAGTCTCACCCTAGAGATTGGGCACCAGGTCCGGGCAGGAGAGACGGCCGGAGCCAGCTTACCTGGAAGGAAGGAAGGGCCTGCCCACGTGGAAATAGCACCCCAGAAATATGCACTTCCCTGCATACTGGGAGGCAAGGCCTGTTTTTCTCAAATCAATAAATATTTGTTGCTAATAAACACAGTCTGTCATTTGTGAGCAGATTAACACATGGATGCATATTTCAAAACCACAGCCTGCACTCACCCACCTTTGACAAATATTATTGGCTTACTGTGCAGGGGCCTTACCCTAACCCCTCACCCTTCAAAGTGAACTGTGCATACCCTCGTCAACACCAGGTACTTTTCTTTACAGACAGGGTCTCATTCTGTCACCCAGGCTGGAATGCAGTGGTGTCAACATAGGTCACGGTGCAGCCTCAAACCCCTGGGGCTCAAGTGATCCTCCTGCCTCAGCCTCCCAAGTTCCGGGACTGCAGGTGCACGCCACCATGCCCGGCTTAACACCGGGTACTTTTCTGCAAAGGAGTCTCTGCTCTCAAAAGAGTAGAGAGGAGGGAGGGGAACAACCCCCAGAAGGAAGTATTTTTCCAGAACTTTTCTCATCTTCCATTTTCAAAACTTGGGGTCTCAAAAACCCCACTTCTAATGCACCACAATCCCAACATGATTCATAATTCAACTCTCCTGAAACTTTGCTGCAAATCCCCTCCAGGAATGCACCCAGAACCAAGCACTTAGCTACACCGGGAAGCAATTTCATCATGATTTTAAATAAATAAAACTAAAAGCCCTGAAACATATTTGATACACAAGTTAAAAACTCTCCCAGCACCATGGTTTCAACTGCAAGTATTAGAGCCATCGCTATGCTCAGCCCTTTCCCCCTACTTCGTGTGCTGGCCCTCAGGTTTCCAGGGTCTCACCTGTGAGAAACATAGAAATGGAGGTTCGGCTCCTTGTCCATTCTGTAGGGAAGCCTCCTGCAGGCCTCAGCACCTGCCTGCTCTCCCCTGAGGAATGGAAAACTCCGGGTGACCACACAATAAAGCAGAGGGGGTGGGAGACAGACACCCACGCTGGGGGGTGCCTACTAGCTACGTACTACACCCAAATGAAAAGTCATCCAGGTGTCCCTCCAGCGCGCGCTGGCTAACATCTCCCCCCCAACCCCGCTCTGGGCTAGTCCCCGCAGGCCCTGGGTGAATCTGCCCTGGCCCCGGGGGTTCACAGCTGCAGTGACGTGCAGACACTCTGTAATGGGCACAGGTGCCAGGGAGACGGCCGGACGCCAAGTGACGCCGACACCAGGATCAGATGTAGAGGAGGCAGCCTGACTGGAAGACCCTGTCCTCAAGCCTGGACACAGGCCCCAGCTCTGCCCTGCCACCCCCAGAAGCTGACACGGAGGTCGCTGCCCAGCCCCCTTCCATCCCTCCTCAGTAGGGGAGGGCTCCAGGCGGCTCGCCAGGCCCCTTTTCTGGTCCTAACGTGCTCAACTGCTACAAAGGAAGTAAATTTATTGTCTAGAGAGATAAATAAATGCAGCTTCCCACCCCCAGGGACAGAGACTGAAGAACTGGGTGTCCCCTGACACGTGAGGATGTTTTCCTGTTGAACCTTCACTCTCTGACCTTTCCAAAAAGCTTGCAGAGAGACGCCTTCCCGCACACGCTGGGGACTCGGGACTCAGGCCTTCCGACCTACACCTTAGCTGGAAATCTGGGGGATGGGGACCCTCAAATTAGTCTCCAAAACTAAAAACACCCACCAAGGAGTGCCTACCTGGCCAGATACAAGATGTATCAGCAGGAAAATGAGCTGTGCTCTTTCAAAAAAACAAACAGGCAATCCTGACAGGCAGAAAGCAAACAAAGGCATCATACACTGTCCACTCAGGACCCACATGGCAGAGAAAGGTTTACTCTGAGGAGAGGATTCCCACAGGCACCCAAGGCCCCCCTTCACAGCCAGAACTCACCACCTGTCACTCATCTCCTCTACACAGTAGGCCAGGACGTGTGGATTTACCACGCAGTTCTTCAAGCCCCTTTGTAACTACGCAGTGTTGCAGCGCAGACCAGCTCCTGCCCAAGCAAAGCAGTGGTGTCTGTATCTCCAACAGCCAAGGGTCCACCCCCTCTGGTCTCTTCCTAGTCACACCTGCCACTGAAGCCTTGGGGGCTGGTATAAGAACTCGAAAGCAAGTGGCCCAGAAAGCCCTTTGTCCTGGGGATTGTGTCAAGCAGGGCAGAGTCCGGCCGTCTTCTGCAAGCCTAGCACCCCCACATCCCACAGGCCCCTCAAGCTCAGCATGTTCCAAACTGACCTCACCACTCCTACGCCACCCCCCCAGGGCTCCCACCCTGAGGAATGCTGCTACCACCTGCCCTAGACCATCTGATGCTCCCACTTGGGCAACGCGCAGCCCCCGACTGCCACTGGGCCCCCAGCCTTGCTCCTGCTGATGCATTCCCTAGGCCGCTGTCAGAGCCATCACTTTAGATGGAAAAATCCTGGCTAGGCTCAACAGGTCACACCTGTAATCCTAGCACTTTGGGAAGCCGAG